GGGCTTACGAGAGGGGGGGGGTTTGACCTCGCTCTGCTGGCCCAGCCACGTGTGGAATTTTACCACTTTCCCGCTTTTCCAAATGCAGCCAAAACCGCTCGAGTTTTCCAAGCCACGGAGAGAAAATATTCCCGCTCGCTCTCTCTCTCCTAATCCACCTGCCACTGGGCTCCAGGGGGAAGGAGGACGGGGTGGGGGGGGGGAAAAAAGGGGGGAAAAAAAAAGAGGGGGAAAATCCAACAGCCAACGCCAACTGACCGCGGGGAAAACCTCCGAGAACCCAGCCCAACCTCCTCCCCTCTGCCGGAATTCTGGCCGCTTCCACATCCACATTCCGCGCCTCCCTGGCTGCCTTTTCCACGCCACCACCACCACCACCACACGGAGATAACGATGGTGTGTGCATGTGCGTTTTTGGTGTTTGTTATTTTTGGGTCAGGTAGAAAATCCACAGAAGAAATTCTCTCAGAACACTTACCCTTGACTTTCCTTCAGCGTCCATTAAGAGCTCCACGTATGTTACCTCACCAACTACAAATCAGATTCCAGACGACACATATACCAAGGGAGAAAAGCCAAGAAAACAATGGGAATTTAGAACAATCAACAACCAGGTATGGAGCCTCTGCCTTATAAGAAAAGCCCAGAAACACTCCATGTTTCTCCAGACTGCAATTACAGGTATGCAGGAAAGGATTCCGAGCGCTTCCCGACGTGTTCTTGGTTCTTCCTCCTCTCCCTGAGGTGTTTTTTCCACACAGGCTGGGGTTCCTCTGGATCTTTGGTGCCCACCTGAGGCGATCCAAACCCTTGGGAAAGGCTGCAGGAAGGAGTTTCCTTCACCTCACCGTTCCAGCTCGTCTGCCGTGAACGAGGGATTTGTTTGAGCTTGGAATCCCGAGGGGAAAAAACTCCCTAAAAGGACTCGCTCTGAACCAAGGGACCATTTATTGCAAGATTTTTAATTAAAGTCCATTTTTAGATGCAATAATTAACTTTTAACTCTCAAGACAAAAAAAACACCAAAACTGTCAACAGCAAGAGGCAAAAACTCCCTGGAAAACTCCAGCTGCACCTTTCCCCAGGGGATTGGGATTGCCTTTTGATTCCACACGGACCTGCAGGATCCAACTACCCAAGTGGCTGCTGCCTTTGAAGGGACTGGCACACAGAAGGGTGGGTGAAAACACGTGGGGGTTTTTTTATAGCTTTTTGTAACTGGTTTTAGAAGTCCTGGGCGTAAAATTTAACACAGGAGGACTCCCAAGTTGTGTTGTCTGGAAGGTGGGATGTTGTGTCTGTGGGAAACCACCACCCCAGTGGGAGGATTAAAGGATAATTTAGGCAAGGAGTGGAGTCTCCCAAGGGACAGAAGGAGGTGTTCAGCCTGACCTCCCACAGGGCCAGCAATTTATCCTCTAAATATAGAATATTAATCATATTAGATATCCTATATTTAAAATAATCATAGAAAACTAACAGAAACCTGGAAGGCTTCTCTTAAAATTGGGAAATAAAGGAATGCTTCGGGAAACCGCTGATTTATTCTTTTTTTTTCATCTCCATTTCTTATTTTCAAGAATGATTTAGCAGTGCCAGCATTCCAGCCAGGGAGCAGGGAGGTGTTTTTTTGGGATAACGCTGGAGGCTGGAAGGGGCTGACAAGTCCCTCTGAAAGGGTTCTACCAGAGCATCCCTTTCCAATCCACAGTAAATCCTTGCTGATATCCAGCCCAATGGCAGGAATTCCATTCCACAATCCAGGATGAGATCACACAGTCCAATCCCAAGGGCTGTGGTGGGGAACAAGCCCTCCTGGGCTGATCCAGAGGTGGGGGGGTGTTGGAATCCCAGCATTCCCATGGGATTCTGTCGCCAGCCATCAAGAGCAGCAGCCAAGTCCGACCCAACTTGGGAGCAAGGATGGATTCCACAATTTAGGGATTAAGACAACAAATTCTTCCCAGGGAGGGGACCTACAGGACCAAACCACTCTGAGCTGGAATTCTGTGGTTTTGCTCCCAAGAAGATCCAGAGCCCTCGGATTGAGGGCTCTTCTCTCTCAGCCATTCCCGGGATTCACCTGCAGTTCTTCCTTCAGATCCACACAAACAATTCCCAAGGGAGTTTGCCAAGCCTGGATGTATAAAACACAATGGAACATCTCCTGTGCTAACCAATCCCTGAGTGGGAACCACGAGAATTCCAGGAGTCCCTTGGAAAATCCAGGACATGCCAGTTCTGCTCAGGGGCTTCACCTTCGAGCCTTGGAGATTAAATCTAAATATCCGACCTGAAGGAGCATTTTTCCCTTCCAAGGCTCATCTGAACTTCCTGAAGAGCCCAATTTAAGGAAAAGCAGGGAAAGGGGAGTGCCACAATCCTCAGGATCCAAGCCAAAGTCCAGAGGACAGAACAAGTGCAATAAAAATGTCCTTTTTTTTTTTTTTCCCACCTGAAAACACGGGCAAAGATTCGGTTCTGCCAGGAGAGGTTGGCAAAGGAAGTTTTTTGAAGGGAAAAGAGCAGGAACTTCCAGAAAATCCTGGTTTTAAGTCACTGCCAGGATAATTAACGTGTCTTTAAGACTTAAGGCAGAGCAGGCTGTGTGATTTATTTATTTATTTATTTATTTATTTATTTAAACCTCCCACTTGGAAATGCTGAGTTTCCAAACTTTTCCTCGAGAGGCTGGAGCAGGAATTGCTGCCACAGCCAGAGAGGCAAAACTTTTCAACTTCTGATCTTTTAAGCTTTTTATCCCCTTCTAAACTTTCCAACCACTTCCCAAAGTCGAGCAGCAACAGCAAATGAGGATTTTTCCAGCCAGGCTGGGCTGGCAGAATTCCAAAATCTGGGCAGTGACCGTTCAGGAAGCTCAGGAAAGGAGGTTCCCAGAGAGACCTGAGGCCTGGCTTGGATGGATTTCACCTGAGCCTGAAGATTTTGCTGGGAATTCACCAGGACAACCAGCTGGGATATAAATATCAACTTCAAAAAATCTTCAAAGTTGGGCAATTTAAGGATTTGAGACAACTCAAAGAAGCTCTGAGAGGTGTGAAAGGTGCAGAGAGGGAAGTCCGAGCAAGCACAGAAATCAGAGAAGGGGGGAATGGTTTATATCCCACCTTTTTCTTTGGCCAAGGGGGGCCAAAAGGAAATATTAACTAGGGAAAGGAAGGCTCTAAACGTGGATTAAAATTGTCTGGATGTCTGAAGTAAAGAATTAGGAGAATATTTTTGAAGAGGATCAAAAAGCTTCAACGTGAAAAAATGCAGAGCTGGCCACTGCTCCTCCAGCTGAAAATTCCTGCCAGGAAACCCCTAAAAAGTCACAGGGGGAGAAGAGAAACACACTTTTTATGTGCTTTATTTACAGAGCTTTGGTTAAAAGGGGAGAAGGAAAACATCCCTCCCAAAGCAGAGACAGGGAAGAGTCAGCAATCTGACAGATGGGGAAGGGAAATGTCCCCTTTGGCACCAGAAGACCCAGAAAAGGGGGGGGGGGGGTGATTTTTGGCTCTTGAAGAGCCCAGGAAGGATGGAAAAGGAGTGAAAAGCTCCTTGGAAAGATGGGAAAGGGGGAACAGGGCAGATGTGGAACAGCCTTTGGACATTCCTTATTCTTTGCCTCCCTAAAATGTTGGTCTGGGAGCAGAATCCCGGGCACTGAAGCCAGGGATGTTGGCACTGGAGTGACACCAGTGCTCCCAGTCCCTGCCCCCCAGAGGCACCAGTTCCACCTGCAGGAGGCCAAAAAGCTCCCCAGAATCCCTGGAAATTCGGGGAGAAGGCAGCACAGGGAATTTAATGTCCTGTCCTTCCAGGGAGGTGGCACCGAGCGTGGCCTGGGCTGGTTGTTTATGGTGTCCAAAAAACCATCAAAATTACGGATATTAAATTATCCAGACAGGATGGCACAGCTATTGCCTCATTTTACAGTCAGCCCCTCTCCTTGGGGCAGGAAGAAGGTTTTTAATCCACAAAATTCTCTTTTATTTCCTAAAATACCTGGGATTCGAACACCAGCTGGTTTTGCTGACGTGGCATCCATGAAACATTCCCATGTGATGTCATTCGCATCCAACCACCTTTATAATCAGACTCCTTCTCCATGGAGAATTCCTGCCATCCAGAAGCCCTTCAACCACCTGATCACCTCAGTTCAGCCAGAAATTAAAAACAAAAAGGGGGAGTTGCAACCAAGAACACTTTTTTTTTTTTTGGTTTTCTGTTCCGTTACCAACATTCCCTCTGCATACCTGTAATTGAGTTCCACCAACAAATACCCTGGAATGCCTGATCCAAGGCATTGGGAGAGAGAAAGAGAGAGGGAGGGAGAGAGAGAGAGAGATGGCACCTTTGGCAGCCTGGCCACCACCAGGTTTTGTCTCCTAACCCAATACTTACTGCCACAAACCACCAGGTTGGAGCTCCTCCCACCTCCAACCTGCTGCTCCCAGCTGGAGCAGCCCTGAAACACCCAGGGCTGGCCAAAAAAAAAAAACAGTTTCACCTGCTCCCCCTCCCAAACAAAAAGTAAAATAAATAAACAAGGAAAAAAAAAAACAACACAACAGAACAAAACAAAACAAGCCTGGGAATGGTTGGCACTCAACGGGTCAGGTTTTTCCACGGGCACGTTCCTGGTTCTTGGGACTGAGGGAGGTTGGAATGAATCCCAACTCCAGGGCAAAGCCGAACCGGTGGGGTTGGGCAGGCAGTCCCAAAAACCAGGAAATGCTTCCCAGTTGGAGCCCTGCAGGCAGAAGGAAGAGGCTTCACCGGTGCCCCTAGGGAAGGATCTGCTGGAATGAGCAGCTGAACAGCAAGGCAGGGAAGAACAAGCTCACCCCGGACTTTTTTCCATCTGGAGAGAAACCACAAGACACTTGGAACGGAATTCAACAAAAGCACTTGAAATTAAGACATCTCCACGTCCGGATTCTCCGGAGAACCGATGGATCTGCTGGAGCCAAGAGGCAGCAGGGACCCTCCAGAATCAGGGCCTGCCCAAGCAGCCTCAGAGGCTGCTGTTGTTGGCATTAAAGAAAACCACACTGGTGGGTCTCAGCCAGCCCCTGATCCCGGAGCTTCCCAAGGTTTCCAGTCCCGACACACTCGGTTCCCTTTGGCCTCCAAAGACAGACATTTTAGAACCCTTTGGAAATTTGTTTTCCCCTTCATCAGGCCACACCTTGAACACGTCATGAACTCTCAATCCTTGCCCAGTTCAAGCACAAGTGAACGCTGATCGCTACCATGACTCTGGATTGAAAGTGCTGCTTGCTCCGAACTTGTTTGGAGACAATTAAATGTTGGAGAAGCCAAGGATTTTCTTGCCACTCCTCCCTCATTTCCGAGGTGACTTGAGAACTAGGAAGCCGGGCTTGAGCTTCGAGCCATAACACCAAATTAGACTTGTCACCACCTGAGCCCTCGGCTCGATCTCCTCATCTTCCTCAAGAGATGAAGGTGCTGAGGCCACCAGAGGCAGCTCCCAAAGCCCTGCAGCACATGCCAAAGCACAAAAAAAACCCTGATGGCTCTTTTTTTTTTTTTTTTGCAGGTCACCCTTCAATACAGTGAAACTGAGCCCGAATGGCCCTTGAGAACTGAGCCTCCAAAATCACCCCGAGTTCGGGGATCTCCGCACACCAGACCAGGAAAGGACCACCTGGAACGCTCCAAAAAAAAAGAAAAAAAATGCTCCAAGGAAAGGGAGGCTAAAAATCTGAGCAAGGCCTAAGGAAAATCCTCCTAAAGCCTGGGCTGAAGCCCCAGCAGCTGCACTGCCAACATGCCCGCACAGGAACATCCCCCTGGAAAGCTGCCAGGGACGGATATTGTGCAACAGCCACGGAAGAACCTCCTCCAAAACCCTAAATCACCGCTCAGTCCACCCAGAGCTGCGGGAAGTCGGGCACAGGGAGGACAAGACATCCCTGGGGCCACCTGAGGAGCACTTTACCTTTCTCTTTGACCAGGTCCTTCAGGGACTGCCACTTGACGTCGAAGGGGATGTTGGTGATGAAGGCTCGGTACCTCCTGGCGGGGTTGGCGTAGGGCTCGAAGCGGTTCCCGCCCCTCTTCACGCCCTTCTCCTTCCTCTTCTCGTTCTGGGCTGGTCTCTCCCCTTCGCTGCAAGGAAAAAGGGGGAGAGTGAGCACATGGATCCCCTCTGGGATGGAGTTGGCACAGTCCCAAAATGAAAGGGAAACGTGGAATGGTTGGGGTTGGGAGGAGCTCAAAGAGGATCCCGTTCCAGCCCTGCCCTGGGGCTGAAGGCAAAGCACATCTCCCCGACGGGCAGGGACTTCAAAACTCCGTCAAAACTTCTGGATCCTCTGGAAAAAAATCCGTCCCAGGGCCTTCCCACCCTCACAGGGAGAATTCCTTCTCAATATCCCATCTAAATTTCACTTGGAAGCCATTCCCTGTGTCCTGCCCCTCCATCCCTTGTCCCCAGTCCCTCTCCAGCTCTCCCGGAGCCCCTTCAGGCCCTGGAAGGAGCTCCAAGGTCTCCCTGGATTCTTCCCTTCTCCAACCTTGGACACTCCCAGCTTCTCTGGGAATTCCATCCCAGCCCCTCCCCACTCTCCCAGGGAAGAAGAAAAGTTCCAGCCCCTCAGGACGGAGGGTTTAACAAATTAAATGTTTCAGGCTCAGCCTTCCATAATTCCCTTCACCAATCCAATTAATCTCCTTGTTCTCTGGGTGAGAAGATGCCCAAAAACACCTTCAGAAAGAATTCAGGAGGACACATCAAGTAAAAATAAAAGAAGACTCTAAAACCTGCCTGTGCTGAGCGTTTTCTCAACTTAAAAACCTGAAATTCTGGGGCAGAAATTCCAACTCCAACCCTTCCATTTCATCCCTAAAGAGACAAAACCCCCAGAATAACACCAAATTTAGTGGTAAGAGCTCTTTTTTATAGTTATTCCTTAAATTGAGATTACATTCCTGGTCTTGAACTGCTCTAAAACGTTCTTATTTTCCCCCAATATATTTTTTCCACACCTATTTTTCCAGATCTTCCTCCCCGCCAAACCAAAACCCACAGCCTCAAATCTGCAACGGGGCTCAAAGAGCACAAGAGGTTCCACCTCCTGCTTCTCCTCCACGCGGAGCCAAAAATGCCCTTTATTCCAAGGATCTGGCCTCAAAAGCAGCTTTTTAAAGTGAAATTTTTCCTTGAGCAGCAACAGAAGGAATTGAGAGGCAACTAAGGGTTTTTTTTTCACCCCAGAACTACAATTTTTGTTGAAATTCCCGCAGCGTTCCCTCGCCACGAGGATTGTGTAACCCCCTTCCCGGCACCACCTTAAACTCTCCCCCTCGAGGTATTCTCGCTCCTGAGCCGCCTCACGGGTGAATCACCCCCAAAACTGCGGGAGAGCACAAAAGGAATTAACTTAAACACCGCCCGCACCCCCTCCGGCACCGCCAGTTCGCCCCGCGGCCACTTTAACTCCGCTCAAAGCGGGCGGAAACTCCTCCCGAACGGGACGGGGACGAGCCCGGCGAGCAGCGGCTCCTCCAGAAGCGCTTTCAGGGATAAAACACCGCCTGGATCCCCTTCAGGAGCCCCGAACCAGCAGCGGCCACGCCGGGCCCGGTTCCCGCCTCCCCCCCTCCCTCAGGCCGGGCCCGAGCGCGGGGAGGCCGCCGCGCCCTCCCGCCGCTCCCTACCTCTTGGGGGGCGGCCCCCCCGCGCCGGTCGCCCCGTTGGGCGCGGGCGGAGGCGCCGCGGAGGCCGCGGGGGCCGCCGGGGGCTCCATTTTGCCGGGGGTGCTCTGCGAGGCCGCTGCGGTCGCCGCCGCCATTTCCCCCCTGCGCGTCCCTTTGTGTGGCGCGCGCGGGGCACGCCGGGAGAGGCGGCGGCGCCGCCCGCCAGGGGGCGCCCGAGCCACGCCTGCGCAATAAGGGGGGGGCGGCCCCGTGAGGGCGGCAATGGCGGGCGGGCGGGAGCGGGGGCGGTGGCCCTCGCTGGGTCTCGCGAACGGCCCGCGCTGGTGTAACGGGGGTTCTGCGTTGTACGGGCGGGCGGGAACGGCCGCGCTCTGCGTGGGCGGCCGGCGGTGTTCCAGCACTGCGTGCCGTACGGACACGCGGTAATGGCGGCGCTCTCTGAGGGAGGAGAGCAGCGCATGTGCAATGCGGGGCGGAGCTGTACGGAATGGCGGCCTAGCGCATGCGTTGTGGGAGGGGCGGGAAAGGGAATTTTTGGCCGTTTCGTCCCCCCAAAATTTGGGATTTTGGGGTTTGTGTCCTTCTACCCCACAGTGGGCAATAGAATCATAGAATCATAGAATAGACTGGGTTGGAAAAAACCTCCAAGATCATCAAGTCCAACCCCTGATCCAACTCCAATTACTATAGCATGGCACTAAGGGCCACATCCAATCTCTGCTTAAAAACCTCCAGGGATGGTGAATCCACCACCTCTCTGGGTAGGCCGTTCCAATGCCTGATTACCCTCTCTGTAAAGAATTTCTTCCTAACATCTAACCTAAACCTC